TGGCGGATAGAGCTTCTTGTGTACTGATAATTTAAGCTGTCTTACAGGTACTTCTCGGCCCTTCAAAAGGAGCTCGAGTCTTATGACTGTGTCCTGTATGAAATGGTGGCCAGTAGAGAAAGTTTAGAGAACAGAAGAAACCCAACTGCTATAAGAAGGCTGAAAGGCCCCAGGTCAAGAGGGTTTAACATTTTAGGGTTCATTCAGCGCCAAATGGCTCGAATTCTCACCCTTGATTTCCAACTAGACTGTCTTGATTATGAAGCAGAGAATTGGTATCATGCTGATCTCGATTTTGAGACTTTCAAACAACTTCAGGTTTGGTTCATCTGTTCATGCTGGTTGATTTTCAGATGCCACATGAGTGTATATTTACTTTGGTTATTTACTGCAGCTTGAAAAGGGTGAAAGCTTGTTCACATTTGCAAGAGACATGACCCTTAAGTCGACAAAAGCCATGCTTCAGCCCACTATACCAGATAATCTCGGCCCTTTGCGATCCAAGCTTCTATGGGCATCTCGGGTTCTTCCTATGCCCCTCGTTGGCCTTTGCCTTATTGGAACACTCTGCAATGTGGGAAGTCCTGCTTCAGACTACTCTGAAGTAGAAGCCCTTTCGAGGCTCGATTTTGGTGCTGCCATGAAGGTGTTTCTTGCCAAGCGACTCACATCCGAGTAAGTTACTTGTTTGAAATTCGCATTAGCTCAAGAATTTGATTCAGTCAAATTCCAAAAAGGCAAAAAATTTGTTTTGTTTTGTGAAGGTTCACCCAAGTGACGGCTGATGTGGAGGAGAAGTCAGTGATCATCGGAGAGAGGAACAGAGTAGCTCTGGAAGCACTGAAGAGAGCAATGGATGACGGCCAAAACAAGATTGCCATACTGTACGGTGGAGGCCACATGCCGGATTTAGGACGGCGGCTGAGGGAAGAATTCGATTTGGTTCCCTCAAGAGTCCAGTGGATAACCGCATGGTCGATCGAGAACCGTGATGTAAAGACCAATTCCCTTCCATTCCTGAAGACAATGGCTGAAGTTTCAGGATGGCCGTTGAACCGGTACCAAACTCTGGCATTGCTCATATTCTCAACGGTCCTGGCCGTGGATCTCTGGTTCTGGGAGCTCTTCTTTGGCTCTTCAGTGAATTTCGTGTCCCAAGTTGCCGAGTCGGTCAACGAATATGTTGGCCAATACCTGGTGTGAGAATCAGAATATCCACAGTGCAGACCCTGTCTTCTTCTTCGTTTACTTTCTCTTTGTTGTTGATATCGATTCATCCAACTGGATACACAAATAGTGTGTACATATCTCAAACCCTGTTGATAGACTGAAATATTTATTTTCTCCCGAGCATTTGAACTGCAAACTAGAAAGCGTTTCTGCTGATTGATGTCCAAAGTTACAGCAGCTGGAAGATATGAAAACTGTAGAGAACTAGATTGTCTTCTCACGATTTTGCAGGCTTCCTACCTCCGCTTGGTCTTCTCATTCCAATGTTCTGACGAAAAATTGATCGCAGCAAACTATAAGATGCAGAAAACAGAGGATTGCTAAATATGTAGAAAGAAGTGTAAACATTTCCAGAGGCGAGCGACAGCTCTTCTGGATGTGGATGCATTTGATGCAGAGACTGCGCGTCTTATGCCTCTTCTTCCAGAAGCTCGCTGCTACTTTATTCTGCCAAAACAATGCACAAAGTTCAGAGCTTTTCCTTACTCGAATGGAAACAAAGATGAAGGCGCAGCACAAAGTTCAGAGCTTTTCCTTACTCGAATTGTGTGGCTTGTGTATCATAACAAGATACTAACGCTGGACAATTTGAAGAAAAGGGGTTGGAGTTTGGCTAACAGGTGCTGTTTATGTTCAAGGGAAGAGGAATCTGTTTGGCACATGTTTGTGGGGTGCACTTTTGTGAAGGATTTATGGGGGCGGACAGGTTGAAGACCGATTTCAAGCCGAATTTGCAGACAAAAAATGCGCAGCTTCAAGCCTGTAATTGATGCAACGCCAGGGTCATTAGTTAAAAGGTCGCCCTGGACAAAGGAAGTACAGCTCAGTGTCAAGGTTTGCTCAAAATTCGTGTTCTAGAGAAACTAGATCAGTCTTGTAAAGGTGACGTCTTTCCGCAGATTTGCCTTCCCTCCAGGAATTCCCGAGGGAGCCTCTGCCCCGCCATTGTCCCTGAAACAGGGGACGAGTGTAAAATACAGAGGAAAGTCATTCTGAACTTGGACTCGAACCTGCCGGGAACTGACCGGAGGAACCTCATCCTTCCGACGCTGGTCATCCTCCTCCCTTTGGCCTTTACCGCTTCCAATTATCTGACAGAAAACCGATCGAAACGAAATTTGTGATGCAGAGAAGAAACAGAGAGTTCATTTTCTCAGGCGAGCGGCGGGGAAGCTGCAAGAGGCGAAGCGTGGGGCCACGTGTATATATAGGAACCATGAGCCTGTTGAGGACTGCCACGTGTCAGTAAAAAGGGCGGAAAGCTGGCGATAATGCCACCGTGTCAACCCAAACGACAAAGATCAAAAAGCTCAGTAGCTAGCTACTAAACGACGGCGGCGGCCGCCGGCCGGTGACGATACCAAAAGGTGGGGCCGGCAGGTGAGGTCATCCGACCCCAAGGTGGTTAGTAGGGGTGGCTATACGGTTCGGTTCGGTTAAATTGGACCAAATTGATCCGGTACCAGTCCGGTCTTTTCGGGAATATAAGGACCAAAGATTGGATTGGATATAGTCTGGTCTTGATTCGGTCCGATCTTGACCCGGTCCGGTCCCAATTTGATCTTGATTTTAGGTGTTGGAGGTCTCTTATCCGGGTTTTTTTACCTCAAATCTAAGCCCGAATATGAGATTGGATTGTTTGCTATCCGGTCCCGGTCCGGGTTATACGGTCCGGTTTCGAGTAAAACCAAACAGTCCGGGACCAAATAGCCAGCCCTAGTTGTTAGTATGCACAGTATACATTCAACGTGTAATCCATCGAACGTTAACGCATTAGACCTAACGTTGTGCAGGTGATCAGCGATCTAATACATTCATAACTCATCATATAGACCTAACGTTGTGCAGGTGATCAGTGATATAATACATCCATCGAACGTTAACGCGTTAGACCTAACGTTGTGCAGGTGATCAGTGATATAATACATCCATCGAACGTTAACGCGTTAGACCTAACGTTGAGCAGGTGATCAGCGATCTAATACATTCATAACTCATCGTATAGAAATATACTGTCAACATACAATCCGACGAAGATCAGCACTTAGAACTTACTACCCTCAAATCTTTTAACTTCTCTTTTTTACTTCCTTGTACTGATCCATAACACTATGGACCCACTTCCCACTTTCTGTGCATATGGTTTGTACATACAAAGAGAAGATAATCCCATCTGGTAATATGTTGTTGTTTTATAATAAGTTTCCTTTTAGGTCTAATTATTCCTCTAAATTATTATCAAATACTTTTCATTATCCATCAGCTTGTACACACGCATCAATCAAATTACAACACGTCTAGTTCCAGCCTATCATCTAAATAATTTTATTTAATTATCAAGATTGAGTAGGAGTACTAATGAGTATATATAAATCCATTATTATTGTATATTTAACAATTTGCTTTAAATTGTTTTTGAGTTACAAAGTAGACACAACTATCTTGCTTACAATCAAAATCTAAGCAAAGACCCTTTTTGCTTCTAATTATGGTCCATGGGAAAGCTTGGATTCTACTCTCTTTTTTCTGGCTGGAAAGTTGAACTCTTTTGTTTGTTTGTTTTTTGTTCTTGCTGTGGGGGAGAAGAAAGTGACAGAAGAAACGTGTTATAGAACAGAGATGTGGTTTTCATGGCAAGACAGTGTGTGGATGAGATTATCAACGTTTTGTTTAACAAAAATGGAAAATGTGGCTCTGAATTTTCTTCTTTAAGTCAAACATTATGTGCTTAACAGTTTTTGCATTCGTGTTAATGTTTATTCACTATCACGGAGATGAAAAATGAGAAAAAAGAAACAGAGCAAGAGTGCGACGGTTAAGTATTCAAATTGGTTATAGAGAGCAAGAGAGTTCCGAACGACTTTTCGAGAGTGTTTCATTGGTTTCATAGATTTGAACTTATTTTCTCTTGATCAATTCATTTGAATACTATGATAATAAGTGCATGTTATTGTCGTGTGAGAGCATGAGCCACTTGGAGAGGAGGGGGTGCTTGCACCCCTTTGGGTTTGGGAAAAAATTCCCCCATTAGGGGTATATACAAATTCGAAACAGTGACTATATTCAGTTGTAAGGAGAATTTTTTACCATCTAGACCGAGTGAGTTTTGTTATGCAATGCACTTTCGTCTTTATTTATAGTAACAAATTGTTGCTTTTTGTTTAAACTTGCTCATTTATTTTGTAGCTCCACAACAGAGGAATCTCTTGTATTTTTTTCTATAAAAAAAAATCTCTTGTCTTTTGTTTAAACAAACTTGAAAGTGAAGAAGTACCAATTGAAGTTCACTTGTTTATTTCAGAAAATCAATTCCCAAGATACTTCTGAGTTCTAATTTGTAATATTTGATTAATGGAATTCTTGACTTGTATGTACTGAACTAATTTGTTTGACGTTGTAACCGATGTACGTGAAACTATTTTTATGTAATCGTATGAATTCAGAGTATTGCGTTGTTGACTTTTTGTTTCATTTAGAGTTGACTTTTCTATTATATAGGTAATTTTTTATGATATGATAAAGACACCCCCTTGGCCAATTTTCTGAATCCGCCACTCAGCATGAGAGTCAACAATCTCATGTACAAAATTGAAATTTATGAAAATAACTTCAAAAATGGAACTCATTAATCTACACAACTAAACGATATCGCATATGGTAACGAAAATCTACCCAAATCTGAATAATGCCGAACATCATAACAGAGTACCAAACCAGACATTCATTATGAACCATTGCTATCCTTTTTTGGCACCAAAATGATGACAATATCTCAAGTTTGGAGCTTGGATTGAGTTTCCATGTCGACGAGGAAGCCAGATATTCCATTCAAATCCTCCACCAAAACGGCAAAGCTTTCACCCACATCCCAATTCCATAAACAAAAAAACAAACAAACAAACAAATAAGGATTTGCTTGTGTTCTGCTGCTCTGTCTTCTTGCTCTGTTTTCTTTTTTTTATTATTGTTCGAGAAGAAGCGTGGCTGGCATGCGTTTGTTCATAGCTTCAGCACACACAAAGCTATTTCCGGCTTAAGGCACAAAACCCTCAAGGGGCTTCTCTGTCAATTCAATCTTTTTTGCTTCTCTCAAATTCTGTTTTTCATTAATCCTTTTCAAGAAAGTTCCAGTCTTTCGATTCAGAAAACAGAGACATGCAATTCACCGGTAGTCCTCCTTCTCTGGAATCCGACCCTGGCGGCGGCGGCGGCAGAGGAGACTGTTACGGCCGTCTCCCTGATTCCGAATCATATTACCGGAATTCACTCAAACATGGAGGCCCATCCCGCAGTCATCGGAGAACCTCCGTCAACGGATATGCTCTCGCCGGCGCGATTCTCGCCTCCACGAATTCAATCCTCCTGGGCTACGGTGAGTTCCCCTGTTTTCTATTTCTCCCTTTTCTACAAATTCGTCCGGTTTAATTTCCCGAAATTCGGTCGCTGATAATGAAATTCGAGCACAAGTCTATTAATTTCTGGTGAGGATGGTAATCAATTGGACTACCCAATTGGGGATTTGGCCTAATTTTCCCTATAGCCCTAATTGATCGGAACTACGTTTTTTCAGACATCGGAGTGATGAGCGGCGCGGCGCTTTACATCAAGGAAGACCTCCAAATCTCATCGACCCAAGAAGAAATCCTAGTGGGCTGTCTCAACATATTCTCCCTAATCGGCTCCTTAGCCGCCGGTAAAACCTCCGACCAAATCGGCCGGCGCTACACCATCCTCCTCGCAGCAGCCACATTCTTCCTGGGCGCAATCCTAATGGGAATCGCACCATCGTTCCCTTTCCTCATGGCCGGCAGGGTAGTCGCCGGAATCGGCGTCGGATTCTCCCTGATGATCGCTCCGGTCTACTCCGCCGAGCTCTCCCCTGCCTCCACCCGCGGATTCCTCGCCTCCCTCCCCGAAGTCTTCATCAACGTCGGAATCCTCTTGGGTTACATCTCCAATTACTTCCTCGCCGGCCTTCCGGCGAGCCTCAATTGGCGGGTAATGCTCGGATTGGCCGCACTCCCGGCTCTCCTGGTCGGATTCGCCGTCGTTTTCATGCCCGAATCGCCCCGCTGGCTCGTGATGAAAGGCAGATTCGCCGAGGCGAAACGGGTCCTGATCAAAACGTCCTCGTCGGAGGAAGAGGTTGAATCAGTTGACTCGAGGGTCAACGAAATGGTGAAGGCGTCACTGGACTTGCCTTCAAATGGACCGTCTTGGCACGAGCTAATCTCCCCGAGGTCGAATGCGATTCGACGAATTGTAATCGCGGCGATCGGGGTCAACTTCTTCATGCAGGCTTCCGGCAACGATGCGGTGGTTTATTACAGTCCTGAAGTGTTCAAAGACGCCGGAATTTCGAGCAAGAGACAGCTGGTTGGAGTCACGGTGATAATGGGAGTGGCTAAAGCTTCTTTCGCCTTGGTTTCGGCTCTGTTTCTCGACCGGTTCGGGCGGCGGCCGCTTCTGCTGCTCGGTTCGACCGGGATGGCGGTTTCTCTGGCGTTGTTGGGCCTGGGCTCGAAGTATCTGGACCAATGCCAGGATGATAAGCCCGTTTGGGCTATTGTTCTGTGCATCGTGGCGGTTTGTGCTGATGTGTCGTTCTTCTCGATTGGGCTTGGGCCCATCACGTGGGTGTACTCGTCGGAGATTTTTCCGATGAGGTTGCGTGCTCAAGGGTCCAGTTTGGCGATCTCCGTCAACAGGCTGGTGAGCGGGGTGGTGGCGATGACGTTCCTGAGCGTCTCCGAAGCGATGTCGTTTGGAGGGATGTTCTTGGCGCTCTCCGGGGTTATGGTGATGGCGTCGGTTTTCTTCTACTGTTACTTGCCGGAGACGAAAGGGAAGACGTTGGAGGAGATTGGGCTTCTGTTTGAGGATCAAGATGATGAGAGTCGAAGGCTCTTTGTTTCTTGATTTCCAGTCGGTTTTTTGTTGTACTTTACAGAGGTAAGTGTAGCAAAATTCTTGGGCATTCTTTTTTTTTTTTGGTATACTTGGAATACAATTTGTGATTTAAACACTTACATTTGTTTATTTGTTGCAAGTGCACAGAACTTTATACATTCTTCTATTCAGTCATTCATAATGATGTGGTGGAGTAAGAATCTGAATGAATATTCCAATTTGAACTGTGAGCAAGGTTGTCAAACCGGTTTATACCGTTATGCCGGTTTGGCAAATGGAATGGTACGACTGGTGGTATAACCAGTTTGTGCCGGTTCATGCCGGTTTAAAAAAATGTGAAAACAATTAATATCTCATGTATTTAATCATATATAAAACATATTTGTGGACAATTTAGTTACAATCCAACAAATATCATCAACTTTTAACTATTACATTCATAAAATGAATAATAAATTAATTTTTTTATTCATTAAACTCATTAAAATGATGTCATTTTACTTAGAATGCGTAAGTCGATCATACCGGTCATACCGGTGGTGTCATGCCAGTTTCATGCATGGACCAGGAAACCGGATCGTACCGGCCGGTTCGACCGGTAAAACCGGGAACCGGACCAGGGACGATACGGCAGGCTATTTGCGGGAAGATTACCGTGCCGCCCGGTTTTGCTGGTTTAACCGGCACAAAACAAAAAACCGCCCGGTTTTGGTCTAACCGGCGGTAAGCTGTATGACAGTCAGACTACGTCGTTTGGCACACACAAAAAAAAAAATTCGGCCGAAAGCCAAAACCGCAAAAACCTAATGTATCGAGATTTTGCCTTTGGACTTTGGAGTTTTCTTTTCCTGGGTCTTTCTTCTCCACACCAGAGGCAGAGGAGACGCAGCCCCGCTCCGCCGCTCCTCATCTCATCTGGCGCGCGAAAGTGACACCCGCAACCAGCCTGTGGCGACCGACGAAAGGAGATCCGCCGCCGCGCTGCTCAGCTCCACCACTCTGTCGCTCCTCCGTCCTCAGCCGGCGCGCCTCGCCTCTCCCTCTCCTGCTCCTCAGCCGGCATTCCTCGCCTATCTGTTTTGGTTCATATCCAAATTTGAAGCTAAAGTGAGAGCAAATTTCGTTTTTTTCTTGCCAGCGAGCTATATTATATATTTATATGTTATATGTGTCTTTCGGTTTCAGTTATCCTATATCTGTGAAAGTGATCAGACTAATCTGAAGTTATGCATCAGGTCCAAGACATTAAAAATAAATCATGCTAAATAGAGTTTTACTCAAACTCCTGTGTCTTAGACATCTGTATGACAGTAATTTGTAAATTTCTATTTCAATGACAATTTTGGTTGTTTTGACCGCAATGGCTAGTGGAGGTGGAGAAGAAGCCAAATCGGTTGATAAAGGAGTAACTCCTAGTAATCTGAAGGTCATCGCAAAGAGTGTACGAAGCAAAAGTGATCCAACTTGGGCTCATTGTTCCTTGCATAAGAATGTTGTTTGTTATTCGGTATATTCCGATTTTATTCCGGTATTATTCCGAAACGGTATCCCGAATCTGCCGGTACGGTTTTTTAACAAAAAAATATTATTTAATTACAAAAACGGTATTTTACCGGTACACAACGATTGAACCACGGTAGTACCACAAAATACCCTACCACTGGCGGATCCGGTATGACGTCCGGTACGGTTTCCTTTACCATGGTTTCATGACCGGCACAGGTTGAACCAGGTTCAACCGGGTGGCATGCCACCGGCGTGACAACCATGACTGTGAGTTTATCGAAAATCGAAAATTCGTGTGAGTTTATCGAAAATTCGAGTGGCGAAATAACATAAAGAAAAGCAACGAATAGTGACGAATGGAGTGAGAGAGATAAAGTCGATAAGTGTGCTCGAGTCAAATTGAATCTTTCATCCGATACCCTCTCACCTAAGTCAGCTCATGTCACTCACGTGTTCCTTAAAAGTACCTCTTAGTAGTTAAAAATAGCTTACCGCATCCATATATATCGAGAATCGTGGATGTAGTATTAGACTATTAGGTGAGGAATCCCCTCGAGCATATATACAACTCTCCGAGAGTTTGAAACGCATAACAAAGAATTTAATATCAACAAGTGCCAAGAAACGTGCTAATTTATTTGTGTGAGAAACCTATTATCATAGGAAAGGGAGAAGTAGTTAGAAAGAACAAATTGTGTCTAATCTAACAGTGATTCTCATGAAGAATCTAAAATGAGGAAAAAAGGGAGTTGTATTTTGGACAAACAAGAAGGCCTACCTGCTTTATAGTTCATGGGATCGGTGCCCATGGAATTTGGGTAGCTGCTCTTCTTTTCTCTCTGCCACACTGTAAAGATAAAGAAAGAAAGAACCCACTGAATTCAGGGTACCCAAAAAAGGGACGGCAAAGACAAATCCTCTGCAATCAAACAAAGCCTATTATCACTTCCCCTGCGCCTTTTCAGCCGGCCGTTTCAAATCAAACCTCATCCTCACACCACAGACTGAAATCAGTAGTGATTCACTCAACTACCCACATGGAAGCAGCTCAGCTTGACAACAACAAGAAGTCCCATTCCCAACAACAAATGCAACCCGACGCCGGCGGCAGCGGCGGCGATGCTGCAGTTCCCAGTCAGGGCAAAGCGGCAGGGCTCAACCGCTACGCTCTCGCCTGCGCTCTTCTCGCCTCCACCAACTCCACCCTCTTAGGCTACGGTACGTCTGGACTAAACAAAAAAGGCATCAGCTTTTTCTCTCCCTCACTTTCCACCCAGATTTGATTGAATCTTTGTGGGATTGGGATGATGACTTCAATTCGATTGCAGATATTGGCGTGATGAGCGGGGCTGTCCTTTTCATCAAAGAGAATCTGAAAATCTCGTCAGTCCAAGTGGAGATTCTCGTCGGCGTGCTGAACATTTGCTCGCTGTTCGGCTCGCTGGCCTCCGGCAAGACTTCGGATTACATCGGAAGGCGGAAGACCATCGTCTTAGCAGCGACCACTTTCCTAATCGGCGCGGTTCTGATGGGCTTCGCCCCTTCCTACCCTTTCCTCCTCGCCGGCAGAGTCGTCGCCGGAATTGGAGTCGGATACTCCCTAATGATCGCTCCAGTCTACACCGCCGAGCTTTCCCCGGCCATGAATCGCGGATTCCTCACCTCCCTCCCTGAGGTTTTCATCGTAATCGGGATTCTCGTAGGCTACATCGTCAACTACGCTCTCTCAGGACTTCCGTCGAACATAAACTGGAGAATCATGCTGGGCCTGGCCGCGGTCCCCTCTTTAGTCATCGGTTTCGGCGTCATGGCCATGCCGGAATCCCCTCGCTGGCTCGTGATGCAAGGGAAACCGGACGAGGCGAAAAGGGTTCTCGTCCGAATCTCGAATTCCCCCCAAGAGGCCGAGCTCCGGCTCCAGGAGATAACCGATTCAGCGTCAAGGGAATTTCAATTCCTCCACAGCGGCATTTCATCGAACACCTGGCGTGGGCAGGGAGTCTGGAAGGAGCTGCTCTTCAAACCTTCCAAACCCGTCCGCCGGATGCTCGTCGCCGCCGTCGGGATCAACTTCTTCATGCAGGCGTCGGGGAACGACGCCGTGATCTACTACACACCGGAGGTCTTCCGCGCCGCCGGGATCCACAACAAGCGGCAGCTCTTCGGCGTGAACGTCATAATGGGACTCTCCAAAGCTGCCTTCGTGATGGTGTCCGCGTTCTACCTGGACCGATTCGGCAGGCGGCCGCTTCTCTTACTGGGCTCGACCGGCATGGCCCTGTCGTTATTCATACTGGGCCTGGGCTCGAAAATCCTTCAGCACTCCGACTCCAAGCCGTTATGGGCCGTCACGATGTGCATAGTGGCCGTGTGCGGGTTCGTCTCGTTCTTCTCAATCGGGCTCGGGCCCATCACATGGGTCTACTCCTCCGAGATTTTCCCCTTGAGGTTGCGAGCCCAGGGATCGGGGCTCGCGATCTCGGTGAACCGGTTGGTTAGTGGGGTCGTTTCGATGACATTTCTGACCGTTTCGATGAAGATAAGTTTCGGAGGGATGTTCTTCGTGCTAGGTGGGATAATGGTGGTCGGGACGGTTTTCTTCTACGTGGTGATGCCGGAGACCAAAGGGAAGAGCTTGGAGGAGATCCAATTCCTATTTCAGGACAAGGAGGGTGGTGACGTGGAGACGAAGGAAGTGAGAAGGGTAGATTTGGAATTGACCTAGAATGGTCATTTTGGTGTCTAAAAGTTCCCACCTTTTGTAACAACTAGATGGGTATTATAATGGGTAGTTGAAGTTTGGTTAGGTTTGTGACTAATGAAGAAGTGGGTATTTTGTGGGACTAGCTAGGGTTAGAGTGACTTGATGGGCTAGGTTTGACGGTTTGTTGTGCATGGATTGTGATATGTAGTTGTAATTGGTTGATATGTAAATGACTATAGATGTTGTTGAATTTGTTTATTGTACAACAAAGTTTGGTTTGATGTTTTTCTTTATAGTGAGACATATACTTTGATAAATTCTAGTTGATCATAGAAAGTTTGATTTTAGTGTCAAGTAAGTTAGTACGCACAAACTTATTGTTATTGATACACCCTTACAAAATAATATTCTTCACAATTGTACATGGCAAGTGAACCAAAGATCTCATAGTATCTAAAACCAATATCTATCTTTTTTTTGGTAAAAAAAAAGAGAGAGCACTTAAAATGCGTACCAACGTTAACCCATTAATTACTCGAGATACCTGAATCACTCGCTGATCCAAATATAACCAATATTTTGGAGTTTATCATGTTGAATCAAATACGTGTTCGCCTATCGATAAAGTATGGTCCAACGAAGCTAGATAACCAACTACCAAATTCGCTTCTCTAGATACATGTTCAATTTGATCCTCTTATAGGTAAAGCTAGTAGTTGATGAATCTCTGTGACCAACAAAAAATACAGATGAAAGGACGGTACAAACAATATAAAAAAAAATAGTCTTTGAATGTGTCTGTAGAACAACTTTCCTATGCCTCAACTCCCAAGCAATATTGAAACCACGTTCATAGATTGAACGAAATCACTACCAACTATCTACATGAAAAAGGAAGAACGAAAAATATCTGAGGGCAAAGAGTAGAGGCCTTAGCATTTCAATAAAACTTCAATGAGAATCAATCTATTGAAAGCAAATCACAATAAAAAATGACTATCCAATCTTAAGCAAAGTACAACGATATCAAAAGAGCTTAAATAGCTACTTGTGGACTCATCTCATGATCTCAAAATGTTGCACCATAGTGTCATATGTAGGGCTGGGAAAATAGACCAGACCGTTAGAAAAACCGTGGTCCAAACCGTCCCGCACAGTTTGGTCCGGACCGTAGACCGTTAAGTATGGTCTGGTCTGGTCCATGGTCTGTACTATTTTATGTTTTGATCTCTTGGTCTGGTCTGGTCTAGACCGCGGTTTACCGGACCAAACTGTGGAGCCAACTGACTTGTAAATACGTGTTAACAGCCCATTCGACCACTCTCCCAACTCCCACAACGACACTCAAGTCTCAACCTTAGTTTTGTGAATCTCGTCCCTCCTTAATTCACAACCACATTTAACTAGAGAGTAGAGATAATCGTGTCTCCATATGACATTATGTTAATGTTTATGACGTTATGGTGCAAGTTGGGATGCTTTTACTTTGTATCTTTGGTATGTACTAAGATTTAGAGTATCAAAATTATTCATGCATGTTAGGATTAATGATTTAAGGCAAATAACAATTATTTTTCCTGGTTATTGGTTCAATTTTTTGTGTGGTTGACTAAACAAATTATTCATTTTTCATTGAGTGTGGTCTATCTGGACCAGACCAGACCGAACCAGATCGCATAGGCATGGTCTGGACCGAACCGTATAGTCTGTGGTCTAGTCTGTGGTCTATACTTTAGCCTCTCGGTCTGGACCATAGACCGTATAGATGGTCTGGTTTGGACCAGGCCGCACCGTTTCCCAGCCCTAGTCATATGGGTAAAAGTTTGGTTTCATTTACTTGGTGGGAATTGGGATGGAAGGCAGTAGTGCTGTGGTGGGGAACATATGGTAGGGAAAAGTAGGCAAGAAGATGGCAACATCAGACAAATTTTTTTGAACATAATAATGGAGGTAAGATAGCTTGTCTTCTACTACTACTACTCCTCCATGATATATACTCTTCCAAACTCTCTATTTGAGACTGTTTAATGGTCAACTTGAGTCATGCAAGGAATTGGAGATCTTAATCAAACTTTGCTGGTGAAGATAAAACTTGCACTGCTGCATTAATTGGAAGAGAGACCAGTCAAGTGAAGAGGGCATAGATCGAAACATTTTCCAGAGAAAACACAACAAAACTTCCTCCGGTGTTTGAATAATACTTATTTAGCATAGTGGCGAAGTCGGAATTTATAGTGAGGAAGGATTGGGGAAAAAAAGAAGCTAAGATCTTGGATGAGGGGGGTTGATAGTCCCTATTCTATCAATTATCCCCATTTGTTTCTCGTATGATCCATAAATTACAATAAAAGATCAAATATCGAGGAGTGCCTATAAGCCACCCCGGCCGATCTATACGTAGCTCCACCACTGACCTAGCACTTGATAGGTGATAAGGGAAATGACCCGCCCTCACTCGAGCATGTACTTGTCGATGAAATGTGGGTAATTGATGACAATATGTGAGGTCTTGTTAAGTTTTCTTCTGTTAGGTGAAGTAAGGATATATAAGATCGATATTTGAACTCTTCTCGACAAACGTTAATAATTGATCTAACTAAAAAAAAAATTTGTACAAACTTCAATCTCATTAGTTAACTCGAATTAAAAAAAAGACAGTTGAACGAGTTTTTAAGTTACCAAACAACAATCGAACACCCCACCTGGTTATTGAAATCGCCCAATTTCACAACCCACACCGACCCACACCCATGCATGCCAAGCAGAAAGGACAAGCACCCATGAACCGAGTGACGCAATGCAGACTCAAGATATGCTCCAGCCCACAGCACTTTGTCAAGAACAAGAAGCCACCCTAGTCCCAACCAGCCCTTAGCTTTCTCATTGGCAGTTTTTTTATTTTAGGGTTTTGAAAATTTCAGAGCTCCTTCAATCACAGCCAAAAAGGTACGACTGGTGCGGCTTCATCAGGAAATGATGATGATGATGGTGGATGAAAATGTCAAAACCATCTAGGAGTCGGTTGTTTGTTCCTTCCGCTTGTCACATACATTACCCAAAAGCTGAAACAGCCTTTCCCCAGAAAAAACTGTGTCGGCTAGCACTTTGGGAGTGCTCTGTTTTTTGAAAAGATGGGTTAGCACTCTGTTTTCCGGAGGACTCTGTTTCGGTGCTCTTGGAGGGTTGTCGATCCCTTCAGATGCTTGTTCGAAAATTGATGTTATAAGAGAGATGGATTGTACATAAGCCCTTGATTACGCGCGCGCACGGCCGATCGTACGCACTATTATATTATGTAAAGACAGTAGTAACCAATTTAGGTGGAGCACACTAGCATCTAGCACGCTATGGTGTTTGCCGCCGCACAATATTGAAAAACAGAGCATGATGATCTGGTGGAGCTGCTTGAACATGAGGTGGTATGATGTGATTAAGGGACCGAAATAGGAGGATTCGACAATGCAAGAAATGAAAGGGCAAAAACACACACATACGACACACGATTTACGTGGTTTACTAACACAATGTGTGTTAGCTAGTCCATGGGCAGGAGAGAGCCCAGTTTCGCTATACTTCGAGTAGATACAGATTACAGAAAAGTATGAGAAGTATTTATACTGCTTCTTCTGAGTCTAACTCTAATCCAATGTTATTTGGGTTCGGCACGATTGTGGTATGTTGATGATAGGCTCCAATCAACTCGTTTTGTAGTAGCTACATTGCTGATAAGTGGGAGTTCATATAAGGTATGACTAAGCCGGTGCATGAATGCATGTATTAACTACTAAGGGGTCGTTTGGATGAGGAATTGTAACGGATCAATTTGACACAGTTGTCTCGTTTTGAGACAATTGTACCAAATTGCCTCGTTTGCTAGCAAAAAATTTGGATGGATCAATTTACCTGGGGTATTTTGAATTGATCCGTTTTGAGTCAATTTCAATTACCTGGGGTGGGACAGGTAATTCGAATTGACTCGTTTTATAAACGAGACAATTGATCAAATTGACTCATTTCTAAATTGATCCATCCAAATGAACCTAAGTAATTAAATCCCATAGATATACCAATATCTGTCTTTTGGGAAAAAGAAATTACAAATACAAGAAAGGTCTGAAGTATATTTGAAAAAGTCCTTGATCTTTGACAACCAAAAAGGATTTTGGTCCCGCCCGCAAGAAAACATGGAAAAGGTGACAAATTTTCACCTTTCTATTGTCCTCCACTCTCAAATCTCAGATTTCAAAACTCCACAGTCTCTCTCTAGCCCAAAATTTTGGGCTTTAGGGTTTGTTCCGGCTTCAATGGCTGAAAAGAAACCATAAATATTAGTTTCAATTTTCGTGCACATGAAATTAATTTTGCCTGTTCTTGCAAGTCAAAATAGCTACTTTTTCAACCCTTTGTTATTAATTAGGAGCATATCAAATGGTTATTAACCCTTTGTTATTAATTAGCAGAGAACGAAATGGTTTTAAACATCTAGACAATGAATCGGTGTTAGCGGTTCGATAATTTCCATATGCAATGAATCTTAAATTATTTACGAGGAATGAATAATTTCCATATGAAATGAAAATAACTTTCTATATGTCAGCTTTATATTTCTATTTTACAAAAAAAAAATTGTTCTACAAACAGGTAACTACCGACTAACGAAGAACCAATGAACCATGATCCATTGAAATTTCCCGATTCATGTCCGATTCAGACCCCGAAAAACTCACAAAACACAATACATAAAAAACAAAACCCTGTATTTAAAAGGGTCGTTATATGTCCCCCATTTAAGCATTAATGAGGACAAACGGTACAAAGTTTGCCATTACAGGAAGGTTAGAGATGCAAGAACGTTGCTTCTGCTGCAACTTTGTTTCAGTGACTGAAGAATGGAAAATGCCCTAGCTAGCTAGCTAGCTTTATTCATATTCTGAAACGAAGTTGCAGTACTGTAAATGCTACATAAAGAAAGCTACCAGACAAGCCCAGCCACTGCTTTGGAACAACCCATCTCCATTAATTCCTTTGTGCTACCTCAAAAAACCCACATATATGGGTCACTGTCTTTCTCCCCTCCATGTTCTCATCTGTAGCAAACTAGGGGTGACCGAAACCCGAATCAGCCAATTGTTTGAAACTGAAACCGGCTCTTAATAGATTCGATCATAATCAACCAAAAAACGAATCCTTGATTGCAGTAACACTTATTGGATTTTTATCGGTTCTCGGTTTTAACCGAATCCGTTAAAGGGGGGAAAACGATAAGCCTATATAACCGAAACCGAACTACCACCCCTATAGCTAACTACCCAAGGAAGAAACATTGTAAGTAAGTAGGTAAATCTGTTGAAAATCTTCATTTCATGACAGCAATTGTTATTGAAGTTTAGTTATTCAGTCATTTGAAATTCAAACGGTGGAAAAATTATGTTATGTGTCCTCCTTCGAAAACTTCAATGCCAAAGCTAGCTAGGTTATTCAGAAACAAGCTCCCAAGGAAGGGTTGGTTTGGCATTTACTCACTACATAGCAGAAAGAGTTTCCTTAACCAGATGGTTCAATTTGACCTGCACAATTGTTTGATTTGTTATCCTATATGCTATAATGTAATAGCCATTTCTCTCTCAGCCCTTTTCATGGTGGACAAATGAACAACAATATGGTTTCGGAATCAAATCGAATTGGTATAGGATCCGAATGGGAATAAAATAAAAAAATATGAGGATGATTCAAAACCATATTCAAACTGTATGTGATTTGATCAATTATTTATATTACGATTTTGATGTGGCTCATTATTTTTGAATCGATTCATCAAATTTTAGATAACTTATTGGAGCTCGAAGCCGTTATCATGATCGGATGTAATATACTCAATTCAGCCGACTTTGTGTCGGAATACAGGAGAAAGATAATGAAAGTGAGAAAAACGAGAATCGAGCCACATGAGTTACACTACTCATTAACTTACGATACCAAATCCAGTTATACATGTATTTGATCCAAATTGATCTCATTTCGTTGGATTCGGTTTGAAAGTGAATGTATTAAACACAAAACGCCTACCCTTTTCGAAAGTGTACATCTTTTTTCAAATTATCATTTTATCATATGGGATTTGTCCATGGTTTGATGTTACCAATGGGCTCTCCCTTCTGATAAGGAGACAGAGCAAGGTATAAAGTTAGCCTCCAGGGGGAGAATTGTTAGATTGTGAGTACTTAATTGTGATCTGTTATGGTAGGTGGAAACGTCATAAGAGATCCAATTCGGATAACGTATTTAAAGTAAAAGAGATATAGCGAAGGAATTCGAATAGGAAGAAAGAAAGAGTTAGAAGTAGGAATCGTAGCTTTAGACCATCTCCATCCAATTGCTTATTGGGTGGAATCCTATGTGGCAATAGCTTTAAGCAATTGCAAGGATGTAGCACTTCTTTCTTATTTAGCAAGATTGCTAAATAAGCAATCCCCTTTGCAATGCCACATAAGCAATTGGGACCCACACATTCATGCACTCAAATTCTTTCTTTCTTTTCTATCCACTTTGTACACATAAAATGTATTGTTAAGGAAAAGAATATGTAGTAGGTCCCATCAATTGCAATTGCTAACCTATTGCAGGGATGTAGGTGGTTTGAAATGGTTGAATTGAATAGTTGCTAAAGTTGGTGATGTGGATGTGGGGTCCATTTATGAAATGGCTAACCTATTGCAGGGATGGAGATGGTCTTAGAGTTCTGTCTAGTGACCTAACTGTCAGCTGTCCTAGTAGCTCCTTGGAGTCCATTTCCATTGATTGCGATCTTTTTCTCTATAGAAACAAATGATGCCATTCATTAGGGTTTAAGTTATAATAAAGAGGAATCCTCTCCCATGTTTGAAATGATTTTGTGTCTTCCATCCTTAGATCGTTATCGAAACAGATTTGATTGAGTGGTTGTAGTGTCGAATTTTGAATTCAGGAACCCATAGAGAAATCACTCCCAATGAGTTGAAATATTGTGAGGAATTTATTCTCGGCATGATGTGTGAAACCTTTGGAAGATGTGATTGATATTGAATATGCACGATACCTAATATCAACATAAAATGATCTATGATCAATTTTCCAACGACTCGAAATGTCGAGAAGAATAAATTCTCGACATGATGTTCAAGTCTTTGGTAGATAGGATCGATGTTGAATTTGCAGGACACCTAGTATTAACATGGAGTGATCTGGGATCAATTTTGCTAAACCACCACAAGCGTAGCACAAGTGTAAGGAAGGTAAAGAGGAATAAAGGATCCCTGTTTTTTTGGCCCCTGAATTCCCCTGTTTCTTGGCTATAACTTCTACTTAATCATGACAGGAAGAAGAAAAAGGTCATAATTAAAAAATGATTGATGGATGATTAAGGTCGTCTCCACTCTCCATTTCTATCATTCTATGGCCAACATGCAGACAAAGGGAACAAGACGAAGAACTGCTGCAGAAAGTATCATCCTCTGCCTCCAATTATAAACAAACAAAAAAAACGATTCAAAAAACCCACCAAGTAATAAATGACACTTCCACTTCCAGTTTGGGCCTTTGTATTTATCCCTCTCCCCTTTCTCAGTTTCTCCACAAACCCAAAAAAAAAAAATCCCCTCTCCGTCCTTGCTCTGCTTTCTTCTTCGCCTTCCATGGAAAACAGATTGAGTTCCCGGATCTCTCGCATGTTCCGGGGATCATTCGGATCCTCCTGCCGCACCCGGAATCAATCCGACGTCGTGGAGAAATCCCCCTTCCTCCCTCACCAGCAAACTGCCAACAACGATGAAACCGGCTCTGTTTCGTCGCTAAAGGCTCGACCTTTCCCGACCATATGCAGAGCAGCAACCTGTCCTGAAACCGCCAGTCAAGTGATCAATCACTGTACCATTCCTTCCAGAAGAAAGGAATCCCACCGCCGACGATACCCTCCTCTCGTTCCGAACTCCGGCAAAGGGAACGGGTTCCCTCCGGCGTCCCCTGCTTCTCCCCTGACCCGGTCTTACTACCAGAAAAAACAGAGTACCCAAAAACAGAGGGTGGAAAGCAAGAAGAAGAAGAAGAAGAAAAAGGCCACAGCCCAGAAGCGGGAAACGAGTTCTCTTTTCAGTTCTTCATCTCTCGACAGCGCCTATTTCGCCGGAAGTTACTATTGGTTCAGCAGCGACTGCGAAGGAGGAAAAGGCGTAAAAAATGGGTACGAGAACGACGAAGAATCCGATACTCTGTTTTTCTCCTCCAGAAGCCTCTCCTCCGATTCGTCGGCTCTCTCTGCCAGCCGACGGCACCGCCGGCGGAAACCTCGCCGCCGTGAAAATCATGATTCCGGGAGGAGGAAACAAAGAGGAGGGGAAATCGACAACTCGTCGCCGAAGAAGGGCGTCGTCGCTAAAAAGGCTGCCGACAAAGCTAAAGGTGGTGACAAAAGGGGGATGCTGCCGATGGACGGGAAAGTGAAGGGGAGCTTTGCAGTGGTGAAAAGCTCGAGCGATCCTTACAACGATTTCAGGACTTCAATGGTGGAGATGATCATCGAGAAGCAGATATTCGGTGCCAAGGATTTGGAGCAGCTGCTGCAGTGTTTCTTGTCTCTGAACGCCGGTCATCACCACAGGATCATCGTCGAGGTTTTCACCGAGATTTGGGAGGCACTCTTCTCCACCTGGTCGTGATGATCAATTTAGTCAATAAATCAAGATCATTAGTATAATAATTGTTGTTATCGGTAGTGTATTAGCATTACAAGCTCTGTAAACTCAGTTTCTATTGCGTGCGAAATGTGTATGTTGTTGACAATTGACAAGATGGACCGAAAGGGAAAAGGCCTGCTGCCTGAAGAAATTGTGCACTTCTCTTCCAGGTTTCGGATTCGATGAAAAGGTTGAAAGTGAAAGTGGTTCCCTATCAATCTCCAATGGCGAAGTGGACAGATCTGTGATGATCTTCTTGCTGGGTCTCTACTCTGTTTTACCCCGATTGAAGCAGAGAAGCAACAAACATTAGCCGGTTAGGACATCCTAACTCCAATGAACGTTAGGATCTTAACGCGCATCATGATTTCTATATAATGTACTCTGTGGACTGAAGCATGTGTTTGATGTCGTTGAATCTGATTGGATTGGATTGGCTTGTTGGGTGCAGTAAATTCCTCTGTTATTTTGAACTTGGATGATGTGGGTGTGGCAGTGATTCTATAGGCTTAAACCAAAGTATTAGGTTTGAAGTTTGAAGATACTATGACACATTCATGCTAGTCTAGGTGCAGAAAATTGTTTTGAATTTCTATTACGAATAGGATAGGGTACACATAAATATTACGTGATTCAAATTTCATATCAATAGCGTTTGTAGTCCAACGGTTAGGATAATTGCCTTCCAAGCAATAGACCCGGGTTCGACTCCCGACTTACGCAAGGTAATACATTAAATGTTGAATAATATATTTTTTACTCATCCAACCACACTAGTCGTTTGTAACGAAGTTTTGAATGAATAGTAGAAAATTGGTTTGAATTTCTATTACGAATAGGGTGCAGACAAATATTACGCGATTCAAACATCATTATCAATAGCGTTTGTAGTCCAACGGTTAGGATAATTGCCTTCCAAGCAATAGACCCGGGTTCGACTCCCGGCAGACGCAAGTTAATACATTAAACTAGATGTAGAAAATTGGTTTGAATTTCTATTACGAATAGGGTGCAGGCAAATATTATGCGATTCAAACATCATTATCAATTGCGTTTGTAGTCCAACGGTTAGGATAATTGCCTTCCAAGCAATAGACCCGAGTTCGACTCCCGGCAGACGCAAGCTAATACATTAAATGTTGAATAATATATTTTTTACTCATCCAACCACACTAGTCGTTAACACGAAACTAAATTAACAAAATCAAAGTTTAATTGGTTTGGTTAATCGGATTAACCAAATAATATAACATTACATGAAAACAATTATCATATTAATGAATAAAACATAACATATGGTATTACTAACATAAAGTATCATTATATATAAACAATAATAATAAGACTAACCGTCCATGATTATCATCATCTTTCGAGTTAATCATCGTTGAAGAATAACATCAGGCCGAATCTGTGATCTATAGCCTTCAAAATCCAAAGAAAATGGCATTTCGTTGCCCAAAAAATTACGAAAATGTCATCCGAAAATAATTTGGCCTAATTCGGTGCTTAATGGACTTAGCATCCATGGAGAAAAGGATCAATAGACTTCATTATCGGTGGGGAATAGCCTGGGCCTGATTCCGTGATCTGCAACCTCAAGAATCAAAAGAAAATGACATTTCGGAAAAATCGCCTGAAATCTGTGATGGTACCCCTTTGGAATATGCCAAAAATGGACCCGAAATAAATTTGCCCAAATCGGCGTTTAATGGACTTAATCATCATTGAAAAATAGCCTCAGGCCGATTCCGTGATCTTTAGCCTTCAAAATTCAAAGAAAATGGCCTTTCGTCACCTAAAAATTACGAAAATGTCATCCGAAAAATAATTTGCCCAAAATCGGTGCTTAATGGAGGTAGCATCCGTGGAGAATAGGATCAATAGACTTCATTATCGGTGGAGAATAGACTCAGTCTGATTTTGAGATCTGCAACCTCCAAAATCGAAAGACTATGGCATTTCGGAAAAATCGCCCGAAATCTGTGATGGTACCCCTTTGGAATATGCAAAAAATGAACCCGGAATAAATTCGCCCAAATCGGCGCTTAATGGACTTAATCATCATTGAAGAATATCCTCAGGCCGAATCCTTGATCTGTAGCATCAAAATCCAAAGAAAATGACCTTTTGTCGCCTAAAAAATTACGAAAATACCATCCGAAAATAATTTGCCCCAAATCGGTATTTAATGGAGGTAGCATCCGTGAAGAATAGGATCAATAGACTTCATTATTGGTGGGGAATAGCCTGGGCCTGATTCTGTGATCTGCAACCTCCAGAATTGGAAGAAAATGACATTTCGGAAAAATCGCCTGAAATCTGTGATGGTACCCCTTTGGAATCTGCCAAAAATGATCCCGGAATAAATTAGCCCCAATCGGCGCTTAATGGACTGAATCATCGTTGAAGAATAGCCTTAGGCCGAATCCGTGATTTGTAGCCTTAAAAATTCAAAAAAAATGGCATTTGGTCACCCAAAAATTACGAAAATGCCATCCAAAAATAATTTGGCCTAATTCGGTGCTTAATGGACTTAGCATCCGTGGAGAATAGGATCAATAGACTTCATTATCGGTGGGGAATAGCCTGGGCCTGATTCCGTGATCTGCACTGCAACCTACAGAATCGAAAGAAAATGGCATTTCAGAAAAATCGCCTGAAATCTGTGATGGTACCCCTTTGGAATCTACCAAAAATGGACCCTGAACAAATTCGCCCAAATTGGCGCTTAATGGAATTAATCATCGTTGAAGAATAGCCTCTGGCCGAATCCGTGATCTGTAGCCTTCAAAATTCAAAGTAAATGGCCTTTCGTCGCATAAAAAATTACGAAAATGCCATCCGAATTTTTTTTGCCCAAAATCGATGCTTAATAGAGGTAGCATCCGTGGAGAATAGGATCAATAGACTTCATTATAGGTGGAGAATAGCCTCGGTCTGATTCCGAGACCTGCAACCTCCAGAATTGAAAGACTATGGCATTTCGTAAAAATTGCCCAAAATCTGTGATGGTACCCCTTTGGAATATGCCAAAAATGGACCCGGAATAAATTCGCCCAAATCGGTGCTTTTTGAACTTAATCATCGTTGAAGAATATCCTCAGGCCGAATCCGTGATCTGTAGCCTTCAAAATCCAAACAAAATGGCCTTTCGTCGCCCAAAAAATTACGAAAATGTCATCCGAAAATAATTTGGCCCAAATTGGTGCTTAATGGAGGTAGCATCCGTGGAGAATAGGATTAATAAAATTCATTATCGATGGAGAATAGCCTCGGTCTGATTCCGAGATCTGCAACCTCTAGAATCGAAAGATAATGACATTTCGGAAAAATCGCCCGAAATCTGTTATGGTACCCCTTTGTAATATGCCAAAAATGGAACCGGAATAAATTCGCCCAAATCGACGCTTAATGGACTTATCCTTGGCCATTTTCCTTGGATTTTGAAGGTGATGGATCACAGATTCGGCCTTAGGGTACTCTCCACCAACGATGAAGTCTAGCAATGACCGATTTAGGCGGAAATTTGGTCGAATTTTTCCGGATGGCATTTTCGTAATTTTTAGAAGATTTTTTTTGAAAGGCCAATTTCCTTCAATTTTGAAGGGTGCAGATCACGAATTCAGCCTGAGGCTATCCTTTAGGGATGGATAAGTCTATTAAACACCGATTCGTTCAGAAAATTTCAGGAGCACTTTTTGCGAGATTCCAAAGGGGAACTAGATCAATCATCTTGAAACATTCATTTTTTCACTTATTACACTCTATTCACATTAAATTCATCCGAGAAATTTTACAATGCTATATAGCATTGGTGCTATAGGTTTTTGCCAACAAGTTGTACATTTAACGTTATGGTACAACTTTATATTGTACCTATACTTTTTGTACAAATTCTTTTATGGTACAACTTGAACTTATACTTTTATGTGATGGTACAACTTAAAGTTGTAAAGTTGTATCATAACATAATTGTACAACTTCCTTTATGGTACAATCTAAACTTATACATTTAATGTTATGGTACAACTTCAAGTTGTACATTAAAGCACCAATACTATATAGCATAGTAGAAGTGCTCAATTGATCCAACCTCGCTAGTCGTTTGTACCGAAATTTTGAATGCATTGTACCTTATATAACAAAACCGTACAAAACCCGTTCTAAATTTTTTTTCAACAATTCGAATTATCGGAACAAAATGATTCTCGATAATGAGATATAAACGGTATTCAACCCTTACCTTCTTTTCCCCCTCTTCCCTAGTGCAGGAAAAGAAGTTCTGAAATCCAATCCATATTCAGGCCAGACCTAACAATATCAAACTCATCAGAAACCCTAACCCCTCTTTATCTGAACAGAAACAACACCCCTTCTGCTTTACCTTTCCTTCCCTAATTCTCCCGTACTGTCTGCTTTTGGTAATACACTAATACAACAGGACAATATGGAAGGTATAATACTGGAGAAAAGTAGCTACAAAGCTGCAGGTTGAGGAGAGCCCCAATGCGACATGCAACAGCAACACCAGAGTGCTATTGGGTAATGCATCATCTGGCAATTTATGTATAACAGTGGGAGAGAGGCCCCCTACCCCATTTATGTGTATTGATGCAGCAAAATAGTGGTGAATGTATGTACATATGGGGGCTCAAGAACCCAGAAAATGCAACATTAATTGAATGCAAGTTCTGCAGCAAAAATAGAAGCAACTACTCTTCCTATTGCATCACCCAGTTAGGACTTAGCTAGCTAGGAGGCCTGTCAATTTGATCCCCAACAACAGAGGGAGAACCAAATAGTGTATGCAATAAAAACTATAAAGCTTAAGGTATCAATACCAGGGGTGTACATAGGTTGGTTGAATCGGGTTTAGTCATTTTTAATCACTCGAATAATCCAATCAAATAATTTTGAAACAGTATGGTTTGGTTAGGATTGGATTGGATTGGGCAGAGTGAACTATACTTTTGAGAAAA